ATTTGGCTCAGTGACCTCCTTTGGAGATATGAGGTTCTTTTACGTGCCGTAAAGCTACGACACGGGACCCACGGCTTAAAGTCCCTCCCGGAGGACTTGGTCCCTGAATTTTTCTGCCCTTAAAAATTCGACGACCTCCGCCGGGTATTTGAACCCGCGTACTACGAGTCATGAGGTGGGAACGTTACCTCTAGACTACGGAGGCCGCTAGCACTGACCCTATGTACATTCAATAACTGAGAGAAGTAGTTCCTCCACCTATTGAAAATGATGTGGGAATCTGCAAGCAGATCACCATTCTCATCCTTTGCTAAGTTACTGCTAGGCTGGTAACCCCTCTTAAAGTAATTTATTCCTCTATATAGGTCCCTAATGTTCTTGTTCTTACTGTTCACTGCAAGCTCATCAATTTCGTCTTTCAGAAATTCCCTCTTTTTGTTCCTGAAATGCCTGCTGGTTTCAAGTCTTATATTGTTCAGATTATCCCCATTTAACTCGCTTGAATCCTGTAACCATTGCAATTTTGCCTGCTTTCTTTGATCTAATAATTTTGAGCATTCTTCATCGAACCATGGATTATGCTTCTTCAGTTCACAATAACCTAGAATCTCTTTGGCAGACATTTTTGTATTCTCCCTAATAGTTTCCCAAGCTTTATTAACATCTGCCTCAGTGTCCAAGTTTTCCAAAGCTGTGAACCTATTTGAGATTTCAACACAATACTGCTCTTTACCCTCTACCTCATTTCATTTCTTGAGATTGAACCTCTCCAAATGAACTCTGTCTTGTTTGTTTGCTCACTGCCAGTCTTTCCCTAACCTTTGCCACCACCAGGTAGTGGTCAGTATCACAATCTGCTGCCCTGAATGATCAGACATCAAGTATACTTGAATGCCGTCTCCTGTCTCTCAAAATACGGTCAATTTGATTGTGTATCTTCCCATCAGGAGATGTTCCAGTAAATTTATGGATGTTACGATGTGGGAACATTGTACTTTTGACAATAAGATTTTTTGATGTGGTAAATTTACTGCTCTAACTCCATTATCATTACTAATTTCATGCAAACTCTCATTCCCAATTGTTGGTTTGAAAATGTCTTCCCTCCCCACTTTGGCATTGAAATCTCCTAACAAAATTTTCATAGGGTACTTCGGGAATTTATCAAATACATGTTCCAGTTCTTCATAGAATCTATCCTTTACGTTATTAATTTTATCTTCTGTTGGGGTGTGAACATTCATAACAGTGATATCACACCAGCGACCTTTTAGTGGTATATATGATATCCTATCACTAATGAATTCTACCCTCTTAACTGCTGATACAATTCTCTTATGTACGAAAAAACCTGTACCTAATTCATGATTTTCATTCCCCTTTCCATAGAAAAATGTATAGGCTCCTGCTGGTGCAATGCCACCTCCATCCCATCTGACCTCCTGTACTCCCGCTAAATCTAACTTATATTTTAAGATTTCTTCTGCTACTGCCCTGAGCGAACCTGCCCTATACAAACTACGAACATTTCAAGTGCCAAATCTCATATCCATTTTCATTAGCTTAGGTTGTTTATCCAAGGAATCCGTCCAGGTCCGAGGCTTTGGCTCTAGTCGGAGCTACACTGAAAAACTCTAAACTGGTCAGTCAGAGTCAGAGTTACTTTATGACGGCGGTTTTACCGCCAATCAGTTCGTCTTGGCGTCAGGCCCACAACCAGAGATTTTTTCTTTTTCCAACTGAACTCTTGCGGTAATAGTCCTTATGTAACATTCTCTCTGATGAGAAGATGGGCTTGTCTCTTATGAATGCACTTAACCTTTCGCCAAGTGTATATTTCGCACATATAACATGTTATCCAAAATTCTTTCTTTTGCAGTAAACACAAGTCCTCTGTCAGTACAGCAGAGCATGCCTAACTTACATATCTTATGCTACGACAACTTGGTGATTTGAACGGTCGTTAGCTTGACCAGCACCAAGTTAAGCCTCTTATGTTTTCTGTGTCTGGCTTCACCTTGTCCCATGCCATGAACATGTCCATTCTATTGACTCTGTATGACTTCTGCTTGTCGTCTGCACAATTTTGTTATATAATCATATGCATATGGAAAGTTGAAAGCTGTGTGCAAGTCACGGACTGGTGTGAACCTTGGAAAATTTCCAATGGTGCGCAAAAGTCATTACTGACCTGATCAGTACATTATAGAGGGTTAGTTTAATGTTTGTGTTTAAACGCTCACTTTTGAATAGGGAATAGATTCTAATAAATGTTCTGAAGGCCTTGGCTTCAATCATTTTTATGTGAAGTCTTCATGTAATCCTCTTATCAAAGCTTACACTCAGGTATTATACATGATTGACAAAGGGAATATTCTGCCCATTCAATGTACGATGAATCTGAGGGGGCCTAAGTCTATGAGAAAAGTAGATTGCCTGAGTTTTATCCTAATTGCTTTTTATTTTCCAGTGCTTACACAAGGTCTCAATAACACAGAGACCTCGCTGCAGCTTTCTGAGAACATAACCCTCTTTGCGGTCAGTCGCGTATATACGGATGTCGTCAGCAAAGAGACCTATACAGACACCAGGTGTTTGGGGGCGTATCGTTTATACATACAGTATATAGATTGTACAGTGTGGGGAAGAGAACAGAACCTTGTGGCACTCCTGCTTGTATATCCCTTGGTGTAGACATTTCACCTTCGACTGAAACTCTGAATTTTCTCTGAGAAAGGAAAGAGCTAATAAGCTTGATTAGACTTGTCAAAAATTGTAATGTAGATAATTTATATTGCAAGCCAATGTGCCATATTGCATTAAAGGCTTTTTCAACATGCAAGAATACAGAAGACGTAGACATGTTATTGTTGAAATTCAAGGTTACGTGGTCCGTAAGCCACATACATTGAAGCGTCATGCAATGACAGGCACGGAAACCAAACTGACTTGCATTAATCAGGACTTTTTCTTCAATGTTCCTTGGACTATTTTCAGAATAACTTTTTCCAATAGCTTGCCTGTTGTAGACAAGAGGCTAATGGGGAGGAAATTTTGGGTCTTAACCGGGTTTCGGTAACATTATAATCTTTGTTTCCTTCCAAGGCTTTGGAAAATGGGACAGCCGAAGGAAGTGATTAAATAAATGTGTCAGATGCACCAGTGGTCTTCTTGGAAGATGCCTATGGCATTCGTTTGGAATACCATCAAGTCCACAAGCCTTTCGCAATTTTAATGTAGTTAATTTATGTATGTCACAAGGTCGTACTTTCCCCAATGGAGTGCCTTCTACAGATGCAAGCAGAGGTTTGACTGTAGTCTCCACCTGTCGCACATGGCTTTCTAAACAATCCGTTATCACGCTGGCTTTCTCATCAGGGTGATATGTTATTCCTAAAGGTCCATGAGAGCGGTTGGTGCCTTGGTCCATCCCTCTTCATGAGTGATTTTACAATAGGCCAAAAGAGCTTGAGGTGTGACCTCATAGTTCCCTATGTTTGTCTTCCACCATGCTAGTGCCTTTCTACGGGTCATTTGTCTGATGGTTTTGGTGACCCAACTGAGTGTCGTTTTACATGCTGGATCCTGAGTTACTTGCCACAGTTTCCTTAACCTCCTCTTATGTTTCAGCAAACTTTCCAGACCAGGTATGTCCTTATTAAGGTCCAAGAGTGTAATTACGCTTGTTGACAGCCTATACACAGAAGCTATAGAGGCAGTAAAGTTGGGGGTTGCTTTATCGGCTTCTTCCTCCAAGTTAATTTGGTTTCTAGGTGAAATTAATTCAGAGGCCAAGCTTTGAAACTGCTTCCGATCTGTGAATTTGTCAACTGGCTCCGAAAGGTTCCTAGTTCTAACATGAGCTAGGCCACACCATAGTTCAAGCGATTAGTCGCTGGCGTGCCACCGCGGCGGCCAGGGTTCGATCCCGGGTCTGGTCAAGTGGGATTTGTGATGGTCAAAGTGACGTTGGGGCAGGTTTTCTCTGAGTACCTCGGTTTCCCCTGCCAATCTTTATTCCACCAATTGCTCCACAATCACCTTCAACTATCATCTGGGGCTGGTACAATAGGCCAGAAGTGGCTGCAGTACAAGGGACTTAGTCCCACCCCACTAGCAAGGAAAAAAAAAAAGATCTAACAAGTGGAAAATGATTGGTAGGTGATCTGAATCCAGAATGTCAGAGAAAATGACTTCTGACAGCCGGACATTCTTGTGCACAATATTGAGCACATCACCATTTCCTGGAGGAGAGTAATGAGTGGGACATTGTGGTGCTGAAATTTCAAACTCATTTATATGCAGTAAATTCAGCAGTTTCACACCTATAGGGTTGGAAACGACACTATTCCAAAATGGATGTTTAGCATTCAGATCCCCTGCCAGTATAGACTTATGTTTAAAGCTTAAGAGCTCAGTGATATCAGCATCATTCCAGGTGTGGCCTGGGGACTTATATACTGCTGCAAGTAGTACTTCGCTATTACCAATCGGTATGCAAACCCCTGTGGCTTCTACTGAAACAAGTGGAGGCACGTCTACATGGCTGTGGGGAATGCCTTTTCTCACTGCAACGGCAGTTCCACCTTTTCTTCCTGGGAAGCGGTCAGCCCTATCGAAGTGATAATTTGGAATAAAGAATCTCTCATGGGGTTTGAGATGTGCAGCATTATAGAGGGAACATCGCTTGCTGTCTAGGAAATACACGATTATCTCCTCAACCATTCTGGCTTTCTGGCAGCACACCACAATATTTTACCATGGATCTTGAAGAGTTATGATTTCAGCCATGACAGCATTACATAGTTATGTTTCAAGCTATCAGAACATTTATAGACTATGCAAACAAATTAACATTTTATCAAAATTAGACATCTCCAGTCCCTCGATGAATTTAGACATGAGAGCTCTGTTTATCAGAGATTCTTGAAGAGAATTGGATGGGCCATGGATGCTGAAAGAATGGTCACTGAGATCTCGGGCTTTCCAAAGAAGCTACCCAAGGCCTGAAATTTGAGTTTTAAGTCACAGGTCTGAAAATTCAGAGCATGTGTCTACTGGGTGTTATTTTATTGGTATCATAAGTTTTGAAATTCATAACTCAGGAAGCTGTAGGTAGAGGTGCAAAAGCAGAGCCTTTACAGTCTGGTAAATAAGTACAAATACTTCAGAGGAACCTGCTGCTGCCATCCTCATGGTAAGAGATGATGGCAGAAGGCTTCTCAACATTGAAACACTGGTACCTATTTACCAGACTACAGTGTCACATCACAAAAGCCTGTAACCTAAAAAAATACATGTATATTTATTTTATTTAAGGTGTATTTAACGATGATATTAGGTCAGATTATATAAAGTCAAATGGTAAACTGATTAATGAAGAATAAATTGTAAAGGATGTGGAAATGGCTGTAGCCTACTCTGAGGCACTACCCCAGAATTTCCCAGAAGGATTGCAGTAAGCTGTGAAAATATTGTCTGGATAGTCAGTGTTCTAGTAGAGTTTTGAACCTGGTACTTTCCAAACACAAGTCAGAAGCATCACCACTTGTTAAGCTTGTTCAGTTACAAAAAATATATATAAAATGGCAGAATTTATTCATATAAATTTATGAATTTTGAGGTTCTCCCAGTTGTGACTATGAAGATTACAGTCTTCAGGGATATGGTTCTGTGTAATCTTGTAGACTGCTACCAACATTTTGGAGGAATCAGCAGCTTTCAGGGTTCCTCTGAAATGTTGGTACAAATCTTAACAAACTGTCAGCCTACATGGCATATCTCAGAAGACTAAACTTCACATTAAACATTTCTTTACATATCTGAACTCACCTGTACGTTTCTGCATGCCAGTTAGATGTTACAGTAAGGAATGAATCCGTGTGTGGCAGGAAAACCAGTGGACCAGGCAACAGAAATCCAGGGAGAAATCGAATGAAAGAAAATGTTTCTTGTTCAAAGAAGCTTAGAGTGCCATCAAGGGACTGCACACACAGGAAGTCCCTGCCATTCACGCCACCAAATGGTCCCAACACCATACAAAATGCAGACCGGCGCAACTGATGTTCATAAGCAAGGACTAAACGACTTTGATCACCTAGGATTGAAATACTGTGAGTTAATAAATCTCTAATATTTGAGCATGTCTAAGTAATAAACATCTAATTCGAGTGTATGAATAAACCCATATTTTCTGTGGTGTGTGGGAATGCATACCACCTAATTAGAGTAAAGTAAGTAAAGTAAAGCTATCCCTGTACCATGCTGTGAGGGCCCATAGGGTTGTGAGATGCTGAGGTTCCCACATAATTAGAGTGCCTGAATAAACCCATATCCTTGGTGTGTGGTTGAGTAATGCCACATAAATAGCCTAATGTTTATTCAGAATTGCTGTTTTTTTTTAAATTGTGTTCATCCTCTGGTATTCTAAAAAAAAGAGGACACAACATATTGGAAACTGGATCTGTTTCCATCCTTTGGTGAGGGTGGAGACACCTATTCTGTTGGGTCATTTAAAGAGAGCTAATCTCAATCACTGGACAACCCAGGTCAGTATAACTACAGCTATATAAATACTTGAGACCAGGCTTTGTTGAAGGGAGATAACAGGAAAATATGCAATACAAATTGTGATAAAATTTTCACCTAACTTTCTATCTTAGTTTTGGGTCTGCACATGCTTTATCACAATTTTTATTGCAATCCTAGTCATCTCTTTCCTTCTGATTTTCCTGCCAATATCCTATATGCATTCCTTTTCGCCCCCCTTCATGCTACATGCCCTGTATATCTCATCCTCCTTAATTTGGTCATTATAATTATACTTGGTGAAGAATACAAGTTATTCCATTTTGCTTTGCCTAGATCTTTTATCTAAAGAATCTGTCCAAGTCCAACGCCCTTTTGTGACACTTTGTAACAAGATTATTTTTTATGGTGAGTTGTTAGTACATGCCCAACCTTCAAGCTGGAGGACTATCCCTTGTCAACTGTCTGTGACTGCTTACTGAATATATTCGCAGCTACCCCCACATCTGGAGGCCACATCTTCCCTCTGCAACCTGAGGCTGTGAACTACATAAAATGGGGGGGGGGGAAGAGAACAAGGAAGTCTTTCTTGTACAGAGATCTTTCATTTTACAGACCTGTTGGTACAGATTCTTACTATAGTACATTTATATGACAAAGTGCCAAGTAAACATTAATACAAGCAATTCCCCTTAACATTTTTAACAACACTGAATTACATGTAAATATTCTTGGAGATCAGCCATGAAATTTACCATGTTCGGCAGCCCCTGCCTTGGTCACCAAACTATACACAGCGACACTCCGTGGATGAAGAACACTCAAATGCTCATTTTGAGAACCTCTGTAAAAACAAATACTCAGAATAAGAATTTAAAAAAATACCATGTATGCTGCTTACAGCAGCCAGTTTAGTAAATGAGCCATAATAGCTCATTTACTAAACTGGACAACTAGGAATTTGTGGTTTGATTGCCAACAGGAGGAAGAGATTTTTCTCTTCTCCAAAGCGTCCACAGACTGGCTCTCGAGTCCATTCGGCCTCTTATCCAGTGGGTACCCACAGCTCCTTTCCCCATGGTAAACTAGCCTAGGCATAAACCTGCCCACTCACCTTCATCTAGCACTGAGGTTAACAGTGTGTGGAACTGTACCTCCATTCTCCCATACACTTTAATCATGTGGTGCTCAAGGGACAACTCTTTATTCAGTATTACTTTTACTGCTATTTTCAGTCAAAGTAAAGGACAAAAGTCTTCAGAAATGAACTCGGATAAAACACGGCAAAAAACATTTCAGTTTTAAAGTAATAAGAAAACAGGTAATTGAGTAACATCATGCAGATAAGTCTTCTTGAGAAGTCAGTAGTTGCTCAGCTAGTCACCAAACTTATGGTACCCAACGTTCATTAACATGGTCCCTGTCCTCACTCAGATGAATCCAGTATACACCCTCCAATCCCATTTCTTGAATACCCATATTAATGTTCTCTCTGATCTATGAATAGATCTTCTTTGTGGTTTCTTCTCTTCAAAATATCTAACAAAAATGTTGTTTACATTTCCAATTTTCACCAAGCATACTACATGTCCTTCCCATCCCATTCTCCTTGATTTGATTATCTTAATATGATCTGTTAGAGAACACAAATTATGCTGCTTCTTATTACGCACGTTTTTTCCATCTCCACGTGACTTCCTATCTGTTACGTCCAAACATTCTCATCAGCACCTTATTCTCAAACATCCTCTGTCCATCTTAAAGCTATGATGTGAAAGACCAAGTTTCACACCCATACAAAATAGCAGGAAAAATTATAGTTTTATATACATTGATGTAAAAGTTTTATCGCACATATATTAACACTGTATACATATATAAATTAAGAACCTGACTTCGCTGGGTGAGGAAAGGGGGCCGAAGTATCGAAACCTTAATGAGACATTAAATGTGCTATTGCAATAAATACTCACGAGACAAGTTTCCCTGCGCTAATTTGAAGTACTGGCTGTGGTAGGTGCATTTCAATTACAAGATCAGTTGGCTTGTTGCCATTAATTGTACCGTCTTCTAATAATTCAACTGAAGGCTCAAATACACGCAAATAACCAGAATGACTGCCAACTATTATTTTATCATATCGACTACCCAAATTGGCGGTGAAAATGCTCGCCTGGTCAAACGTTTCATTATCACCACACTGTGCACACCACAGATCTCTAGCTTTAAATAGTGACATACTATAGGCACTTGCAAAGCTTCAGTCGTTTGAAGAGATTCAAGAAAGTAACACGACCACTTCACTAAATCAGCAAGCACACATGTCCGAGACTAAAATACGACTAACTAACCTACATGAACAAGCCAGCTTATTTCGTACCATGCGAATAAAATACAATATCCGCCTATACTAAATTGGGCACAGTAAATACACGAATTGCTGCCTTAAGCAAAAAATGTTCTTCCTACTTTCAAATTTGACAGCTTCACGTTTCGGAATGTCAAGCCGGACACATAGCCGTTCTAACTACAATCGAACTAACGTATCGATACAAATAAATTTGGTGCTAGGAATAAGCGGTAAATTCAAATATATAGCACGCTATTTCTAGATATAAAACTGAGATTTGTTCCTGGGCCATTAAGACATATGCGAGAGTGGAGGTACAGCTCCACCATTCTTGGCATCGACACTAAATTCAGTTGGGTGGTCAGCTTCACACCCTGGCCATTTTCCCTCAGGGAGGAAACTCCTGATACCAATTTAGTAGGAGACTTGGTGGGCCACAGAGCATCTGCACACTCTGGACAAGAGAACATTTTCTTCTCTTTCTCAGAATGAAAACATAATTCACTGATATATATAAAAATATAGTTATTTCAGAGATGCAGCACACTGCTAGTTTCTAAAATAAACTTTACATGAGTACAATCTGTTATTAAAATTCAGAATGAGCAGGAATTATACCTTCTTCATAAGATGGTATCCTGCTTCTGTTTACTTCTAAGCCATAGACTTAACTGTAAAACAAACTTACACGAAAAATCATGTTTGTTTTAAAGACTTATATCCTAGAAGACAGAACTCTCATAACCACCACTGTTAAGACCTTCAAATTATTTTTGCTTTAATTTTTATTATACACTACACATGCTTATTTTCCGTCACGTTATTTAATGACGATTGCTCGGTCCTGAGACTCCATTAGATGAAGAGCTATGTAAAATTTACTCTTCAGAAGTTATATAAAGAATTTGAACTAAATAGAAGATACATAACTCCATAGGGTGGAGAATATTTTTATAAAAATATTATAATTTTCATATCCGTAGCTTTGTAGAATTAGGTTTGATGCAACCTAGTTTATTATTATCTTAAACCCATGTTTATACACTTCTACATTTTAACAAATTTATACTTGCAGTCTATATATTTTTGGCTAATTTGTGTATATAATCTGATGATAACCATTTGCTGTGGAAACACATAATGCATAACAAAAAATAAAAAAATAGAAAGGCATTTTAATGTGATGATTAATTTTATGACTTGAAAAGTTAATCATACCAGAGTGAAGTTGATCTTTTCTGTTAACCTGAACTTCCAGTGTCCATTAATAGTGCTTTCAAGATTCTCACTCTTCGAAGTATACCTTACCCACTTTCCAGTAACAAATCACTCTATATTCCATACACCTTTCCATACATAAATACACTGCCTGCAGTCTTGTACTTATAATCTTTTGGGTTATGACACCATTATCATCCAGCACACTCATAAGACCACTTCAAAACACGCATAACTCTTTCTCCTTTGCATTATTCATTAATATCAAAATGAAAATTGTTGTACTTGGCAGCCTCTTTTTGAGCTATCCTAGTTTCAATACCTGTGCTTGAGCCATAGTTGTGTAACACTATGAAGTTATCCCAGCAAAACCAATAATATCAAATGAGTATAACCACCAATATTCTTGCTTCAAATAAAATCATTTTTCTATCATACATAATTAATTTTTATGGTCTGTTTTACCCTCTCATCTCCAATTAGTGTCAAGGTTAAGAATATGTGGATCTATACATCCACTCCCACACATGCCTTCATGGCATAGTGCTCAACTACTTACTCATATGCGGCAACTTTACCATTTTGTGGTGTTGCACAGTTTCTAATTAAAATCCAAAAAGTTAGTTAACTGATTAAATATAACAGAGTGTTTCTTGAAAGTTAATAATTGCTTGGCAAGTCAACAGACTCCCCACATTTTAAGAAATCCAAGTCTCATTGCCATATTCAGAAGAGCCTGACAAAGTCCTTATTCCAAGCTGAATGAACCTTGTTCAGAGCATCTTATCCAATTTCTTTAAAATTCACTTTAGTATTATCCTCCCACTCATTTAAGAAAATAAAAGGTAATTTTATTTTTCTGGTGTATAATCATATGCCACCATAGCATTTCTAATTCTGAAATAAATAAAAAAAAAACTTCCAACATAAACTACATATTTGTGTCATGCATCCTTGGCAACAAGGAAAATTAGGACAGGAAATATTTTATAGACACGTGGAACTATTTGTTATCTCATAGATAATAAAATTCATATGTAGGAAACCTTTACTCAATGCAATTATTAAACACAACTTGGAGACTTCTATATATAATACTTGCAGGACAGAATGTTTTAATGTCCATTTCTTGGTTCTCAATAAATATTACAGAATGTAGCCAATAGTTGTGAACAGTATGAGAAGATGGCAGCCATAAATACCAGTAACAGATAGTCTTCATTTGCTATTGCAGTGCCGATTTTTAGTGATAAACTTTATCTTTAAATAGCAGCAGTGTTTATTGTGTCAACTTCTTTTTTCAGAACTTTTCGAGATTATAGCATGCATACTAAGTGAAACCCTGATTTCATAGTGTCCCTCAAGGCTATAACAGGTTAGAGAGGATTGGAGGAAGGGTCATCTGAGGGAACTGCAGCTAGAGAAGAAACTGTCTGGTTTTCCCATTGAATTTTCAAAGCACTTTTCACTAATTCTGTTGTAAAGTGCAGGTAAGGAATCATTTTGGGAACTACATAGACCCTCGCTAATCTTTAGTAACTGNCACGTGAGGTGTTTGGCTACATATCTGCTCCGTGAAATGTATACAATCGCTTTGTTGCAGCTGGCTCACGCCCCCCCCCCCCCCCCCCCCAAAAAAAAAAAAAAAAAAAAAAAAAAACTTAGAACACAAATAAACTGAAAATTGAATCATATAAGTAATTCTGATGAAAATAAATAATGAAATATCACTGTAGAGCCTTTATTTAAAAACTACAAAAAGACAGTACATTTATTCACCGACAGAAGACCCAGAAGTTGTACTTGGTTTTGAACGTAATAATTGCAGGTTTGAAGAAACTGCCAAGTTTTGTCTGAACTGACAAGTGACTCATCTGCCTTCCTAAATGCCATGTGTCTTTTTTAAGTATGTACTCAACTGTGAATAGCATTTTACGTATTTCATATTTTACTCCAGATTAACTGTAACCACATTAGCAAGGGTTTACTGTATAACTAAGAAAAACACAAAAGATAAAATCCTATATAAACATTTTATTGTACAAAATATGACATATAAGGAACTATTAACTTACACCAACATTATGAACTGATGTAAAAGAAAACAATACAATCCACTCAAACAGACATTTCATACTTCAAAATATTTTAACGCTTTACTTAATCATATTCACATATCACCACTTACATAATTTTTTTAGGTTTTAAAATATTTTAAAGAACATATTAACTAATGGTGCTAAATACAATATATTAATTATATACAATCCACTGGACTATGTTTGGACATGATTCCAGAACTCACTTTACACCTTACCTACACCAGAGCAGAATTCCAACGTGCAACAAATTACTACGTGTGGGTTAAGTATCCATCTTTGTGTGTTCAGGTTTTTGAGCATGTTCAGCGTACATATCTATGGTTCTGGGCCACAAGGAGTTCTGCTTGCAGTTTCTCACAGAATAACTTACAAACTCTTTGCTTTATATTTTCTGTCGAAGTAATATTTCAGGTTTTCCTGCAACAAAGGGAAACTGATTAGATGCTTAACAAGACTGAATTAGCAAATGATACATAATACTTCTACATACAGTTCAAGCTTTATAGTGATTCATATCATGACATTTTGCTCATACAAACATTTAAGATAAAGGGTATGTCCTCAGCTTGGCTTGCAATGTGACTGTGAACTCACCGATCTAAAGTTCCTTCCAAACAAAAGCAAAAACATATGCATGTGAAAACAAATGAATGCAACATCACTCAGTTCCCTTTACGCTCTGCTTTGGTGTGCATATTGCAAAGGACTTTTCTAACAAATTTTTATTGGTATTTCTACAGCATAATAGTATCTCCAATGGCTATGGCGTAATGTATTTTTCCAGGCCTATTTCACTTCAGGCAATAAAACTGGAGATTTATTTTTCATCATTTTGAAACATAATCCCCAATTATAACAATGTATTTCTGAGAAATAGTGATTTGGATTTTTAATTTCACTTCATGAACTCCCCACAGCAACATAACTATAAGAGCAGGGACTGCCCGTGTTTCTTGATAGTCACATAAATTACTCACAATTATAACAGATCTGATCATACTACCATAACAAACCTAAGATAATTCTTTGGTTAATAACAAGGAAGGAACTGATTAGTTTTGAGACTAGAGGTTCATATGATTATTGTCTTCTTAGACGTTATGCCACAGTGTGCTAGATATCCAGCAATGTTTCAGTGAAGCCTGCTGCTTCCATCTTCAGGGTAGAAGATAGAGGTTGCAGATTCCTTTGAATTGATGGTACCTATGTACACACCCCAGAATCATTGGATAGGAGACTAAGTGGACCCCAAAGACAGTCTGAACTATATGCAGAAGAGAAGAATTTCTTGCCCTTGCCAGGAATTGAACCCGTCTTCCAGCCCATGACCCGGTCACTACAATGGAGGAGGTATCCATATGGGAAAACAGCAATACAAATATATGAGATTTTCTGTTTAATTTTTACTGGCTGTTACATTACAACTCCTATTTCAATCTTATGATTAAACTGGTAAAGTAAGTAAAAAAAAAGTAAAGCTATCCCTGTAACAGGCCATGAAGGCCCATAAGGTTGTCAGACGTTGAGGGTCCCACATTATCTAGACAATTGGCTCAAAGATCATTATATACATGGACTGGGCTTGAACTGACCGCAACTTAAATGATATTCTGTGGTTAGTGCCCAGTGCCACCAGCTGTAGTCTATATGACCCTTCTGGCCTCTGTCCACCTAGTCAAGGCAATGTAGCAGCAGGCATATGCTCGATTGTTACACCAACCATAGGAGGATCATGAGAATGAAGGCTGGTACAGGGAACATACAGCTGAGCACAGTCTCCTCCAGACCAGGGACAGGCTTGGTATTCTTGGCAATGACAAAGTTTCCCCTTCAGTATAAATGAAGCTTCAATCTGTTCTCAGATCCGATTAAGGACTGACACCTCTAAACAGCAGTCCATTGTCATTTCCCAAGACCATAAGGCCCCCTCTATGATGATGTAAAGATATTAATTTCATTGTAATTTGCTATTACTATGATATTATTTTGTACACAGACCCTTGCATAATGTTATGGCAATTCACACCAGAAGGACATTACACAATTTACTTTTGTTCATAAGTGTTAGAAGTGCTTACCTGTCTATGGAATTTGTTCTTGTGATGGGCACTGCTGCTTTCATGCCCTGAAACAAAGAGTAACATTAAACAAAATACATGTAACATGTTCAATTTTAGGTTATCACAGTGTTCACTAGGAAGAGTACAGTCTATGCAGTTGTAACATTGTATAGTCAAAGACAGAGCTCAACATTTTGAAGGAATATGAGACCTCCATCTTCAGCGTCAAAGAATAAACCAATCAGGAAACTGGCAGAAGCAGGCAGCAGGGTGAGCTCCGTTTTGACTCTCTCCAAATTACACAGCATTACATTTCAGAAGCCCATACTCTTGACTGAGAGCTATACAACAAACACCTTGAGCTTACCAACTTCTTCTGCTGGGTTCTTGCTTGGCTTACTCTTCAACCCTGAAGATGGAGGTAATATGTTCCTCTAGAGTGTTATGTTCTTTCTGAACTACATTTCATTACAATACAGAAAATAAAACTCTTCATACGTAACATACCTACTGAATTTGCTAAATTATTTCAACCCAAACATGAGGCTTGTCCAAATGAAACCTGTTTGGGATTTCTTTGGGGTGCGGGTGTAGAGGCCATTACAAATAGTCCCCATAGTATTCAGACCAGCTCTGCAGGCCACCCAGCCACCTCCTCAATGGGTACCAGCAGCTCTATATCTGGGGGTAAAGCAGCAGGGGTGTGAAGCTGACCAGTAACCCTTATCTATTTCCAAGGTCAAGAATAGTGGCGCTACAGCTCCACATTCCATATGCCTCCACGGCAGTGCTTAATTACATAATTAAGTTCCATCTGAACAATCCTCATAGCCCTAGTCGCATTTCGAGATGTCCATCTTGTGTAAGACTTGGAGCTCTTACATCAAATGAATATACCAAAATTTCTTAGAATAACAATGAATTGAAAACGTAATGGAAGGAAGTGGTTCTGCTATAATTAGAAGTATTATTTTGGCATTTGCCTGGAAGAGCTAAGGAAAGCAACTGAAAACCTGAGTCATGATAATCAGTCTCGAGCAGAAGATCTGAACCCAGAATGTCCCGAGCACCAAACACCTGACTGTGTCATTAGATAAGGTCAGTAAAAGCAAAGATTTCAGTACACGGACTGCATGGCATCACTCACTTTTCCTTTGTTCTGATTTGAGACAGGTGGAAGAGCTGTATCAGTTGCATGTTGGTGAGGAAGTTCATATGTGAAATTGGCGTTAGATATCTTCATACAGTCCTCCAGAGTTCTAATGAATGTATCACAGGTAGCACCCAGTAAACTTGTTGCTTCATCCAGTTTCTGTAATTGAATAAAGAGACTTTACCTCATGCTGGCCTTGCTGGGACAAAACACAATGTTTAGCACAAAACTATATCTCTTCTTACTTGCACTTCTGGCCCACCCTCTTGAGTAACAGCTGTCTTAACCATATGGACTTGTTGCATTAGCAGGTCACAATACAATCTCAGCTCAGATTTTTTGGATTTAAGAGTATCAGGATTTGAATCTAAAAATAGGAAATAATAATTAATAAGTACATTCTAAAGGGTTCTGACAATGGTGTGTAATATTCAGAATCACTGGGGGTTTTCTGGACTTTGTCCATCGTCCGGTATTCTAAAAACTAGAGAACACGTTTCATAAACTGGATCTGTGTCCACCTTCAGGTGAGGGGGAGGGCGGAGACATCTACTTTGTTGGGTCCTTTAGAAAGAGCTAACCTCAATCACTGTGTCAGTATAATGGCTATGTACATATATGATACCAGGCTTTCTTGAAGGGAGATAACAGGAAAATATGCAATAAAAACTGTGATAAAATTTCTACCTCCCTTTCTATTTTTTTTCAGGCCTGCACATACTTTATCACAAAATTTTATTGCTATTTTCCTGTTATCTCCCTTTGACAAAGCCTGGGTTCATGTATTTATATAGCTGTAGTTATACTGACAGAGACTGTCTAGTGATTGGGGTTAACTCTTTCTAAGGGACCCAAGAGAATAGGTGTCCCCCCTCCCCCTCACCTGAGGACAGAAACAGATCCAGTTTCCATAATGTTGTGTTCTCTAGCTTTTAGAACACCAGATGATGGACAGAGTCTAAAAAACCCAGTAATTCTTAATAATTAGTAAGACTGGAAGAATGGACAGAGACGTAAGAATTTATCAAGAATAGTGCATTGCACATTGGTACAAGAGATCTGTGGGTTTCATGGCAGTGTAAATTCCGATTAGTCAACTTGAAATGCACCCATGGAAATGGTGGGACCACTTAGGAAAGTGCATGCTGTCATAACCCAGGAGACCACATTACAAATATAGCGTTACTTTTGCACTAGAATTGTCCAATCAAAAAATATTAAACTTGCCACATTTAATAACACAGACTAATTAGATCTGCAATATGGATATATCTTCATATGGTGATATTAGTTGGGTTCAAACCTGAAGCATCATGATCATCACCACCACCCCAAAAGCTCATCAACAGACATACTGCAAGCCACTTAAACTTACTTTGCGTATTTTCAACCTAATTCTCTATGCCTCAAAGGACGATAACCTTATCACTATCTGTGAGCCAACTGTCTAGAAAATGTGGGAGCCTTAAAGCCTCATAACCATATCGGCCTCCATGGCCTGTTACATGAATAGATTTATCTCCTTTCCCCCACCCCTCACACCCCCAACATCAGTTTGGAAGTTGTCTCCCTACATGAGATTTTCCAACTAAAATTGCATACACCATTATTTTCCTACATCTACAGTCTAGCTCACCTATCACAAGGCCATATGGTCTAATGCATGAAATGTCTTCGCCCCACTGAAACACTAGGATTGTGGGTTCAAATCCCATTTGAGGTGTGGAGGTCTGTCTGCGTTTATTCGGTGTTCATGTTGTCCTGTATGGGTAGCAGCCTTGCGATGGGTTGATCACCCATCCAAGGAGTTCTACCAACTGTCTATAACATTAAGAAACTGAAGTGAAATGATGTTTCATGGATACCCTACACTCCAGAGGGAGCAACAGAAATTAAATAATATGACAATAATTGTCCAGCAAAACACTGTTAATTCGGTAACTAAAACAGACAAACTAGGAAGTGTGAGATCTGAGGTAACACAGAGGTGGCCATTAAGATTCTGTCTTGTGAAGTGTGATCTCACAGAAGTGCCCCTTCTGTAATCTGCTGCAGCCCATTATGTTAGTCTCCTTGCCGACCTACAGACACTTCCCATTGGTCATTCACGCTACCATTTCTCCAATTTCTCTCTTGGGGGTGATGGTCTGATTAATGGCCCCTATTCCTTTACTTCTCTCCTTTTTCCTATTCATTTGCTCATAGTTCCTATCCTGCCCTATACCCATACCACTTTCTCATGCTTGACCTTCTTTCAATCCTGAAGATGGAGGCAATGAATTTATCTGAAACATCAGTAAACTTCTACCTGACTACACAGTGTCACATTCCAACATACTTCTTCATAAAATATGGAGTTCTTTAATCCTTTTAGTGATAACCTCCAAACACTGAACTGAGCTCTGACCTTGCTGGCATGGGTCACATTACTGGAATTCTGCATGCATGTGGTACAGCAGGCCAAGCATTGCATTTTTTTAACCCCCCCCCCCTACAGTGCTGAGAAATTTAAGATGCCCAATACTTGGACGACAAACAGCCAGGACAGTCCAATCAGTACAGCTACGGGCTATGGGCTGGGTGCCCTGGGTTAGACTCCTGGCAGTGGCAAGATTTTTTTCTGCACACCACAGCATTCAGAATGGCTTTAAGGCCAACCCAGCCTCCTATCAAATGGGTGTAAAATGGCCGGGGCATGAAGATGACCACTCACCTCCATCTAATGCCAAGATCATGAATGGTGGAGGTACCTTTTACCTTTACCTTATGCTTGGATGATAAGGTTAATTCTTCTGTTCTCCATTTTGGAACTTTGTTTAATGACACTGTCAGTATCTAGACCACACAGCATCAGTAATTTAGAAAGGAAATATTTACATATCAAGCTATGAGTCATGCAGCTTTTCACACTTCTACTATCAGAAGGACAATGCATGTAGCAATAGAAAATGATAAACAGGTTGGTTACTGATACTCTGAAGCTACATCAGTAATAACTAAAAATAATGTAATAAAATACAATTCATTTATATGACATAATTAATATATACTGAATCTAAGATTACAACATTTAAAAAGCAGCAGCACCTGAGTCCTTTCTGCTCCGGGTTGTAACACAAGCTTTTGCACTTCCGAGTGCCACAATCCATTGCTGCCGTTCTTGATACGTTGCAGCTCTCAAATAAATATGTTGTTCTCCAGGAATAACAAGATCCATACGGGTACTGTCAACGGGATTAGCTGAAAACAAGTTTATCTTTGACATCCAACAGAAATTATAAACTGACAATACTGTTGCCACTTTATGTCCCACAGGCTATCTGCAATACTTATGTTCCACGCTAAATGTCAAATGAGCGTGGAAAACTGCTGATACACAAATCACGAACCATCACTATGGTTTATGGTCACATTTAACAATGATAAGATGATAGTAATTTTAAATGTGTATGAACCAGAAAATCATCTAATGAATTTTATGGTACAACACTCGCATTAGTCAACAGTAACTCACGGAAATTACGAACACTTCATTCTGTGGAGACGATCTCGAGTATCCAACACTCTATCTACCGAACAAGATTCAAATCATTATCGCTTCATCACCAAACTCCATGTCAATATAGCGTTAACTGAAGACTATAAACACAAATTAAATACAATCACTTGCAATTATAATTACCTATAATTTCACATGCTGTTACTTTCATTGAGCCCTTACATCCTTGATTCACTTCTTCTTGAGACTTGTAATATGCCAACACACCATTGTCAAGAATAAACCATCTCGTCTGCCATCCTGAAAGAAAAAAGCACATAATCTTTATAAAATTTCATCACTATGTTCTTCAACCGCGTTGCGAAAGGAACACAAAGGTAGAGCGTACCATTCCAGTAGTTTGTCCATTTCCACAAAACCCCTTCCATCACATCAAACATATACTGTCAAATTGACAACGCATATATGTCGGCTTTTACCGCTTTTAGACACAGCCTCCTTGAATGCAATCCATCGTATCGTCCTGAAACAGAACACTATCATTTGTATCGTTGCCAACTTCAGGAACAGGTCTTTTTGGTAACTATTTCCATGTCACGTGATTGTATCAGAAATTCATTAAATAAAAAATAAAAAAATAAAAAATAAATAAATAAAAAAAAAGATGCGGAATGTCGTACGAAAAGACAACCACTTGATGTACTATGTAAGATTTGGGGTTTTCACGGCGGTGACTATGAAGAAAGCGGTCTTCTGGGATATTGCGCCATGTAGATACTGTGTTAACCGTCGTTTCGGAGGAACGTATCCCCTCCATCTTCAGGGTAAAAGAAAAAACAAGAAAATCCGCAAGCGAAGAACCAGCGTGAGCAGTGCAAATAGACTAATGTCGTGAATAAACCCAGCTGTATAAGAGCAGGAAGAGAATGGAGAGGGCCTGCATGGGAAACCAGTAGAGGGCATGGAGGAAGGGTCTGGGGAGGTGGGTCAGCAGGTAGCAGGCTAGAGCAGGTATAGAATATAATATGTCTGAACACAAGTTTGGAAAAATCTGTGATCACAAGCGACACTAATATACTAACGGAACGAGTGCTGAACACAGACTGATGTAGCAAGCGTACAATCCGGGACTTCCCCTCTAGTCACTTGTTATGCGAAACGTCGCTCGTTAAGCGAGTCGTCCTTTTACGATTTGTTTTGCTCGTTATGCGAATTACTCGTTATGATAGGTGCTCGTTAAGCGAGGTTCCACATTGTGTCGGGGGAGAAAGGCAAGGTTAATGGGAGGACATTAACCCTTAAGCTTGGGGGTTGCTATGCGATTCGGGCATGGACTTGCGTGGCCTTGTGATTCTGCCGTCATGTCCCGGAGGTTTCTTGAGGGAATCGATGAGAGGCTTCCATGACTTGCTGAGACAAAACCCCAACTCTCTGTTCATATGGTCGGGGTGGAGTTCAGTCTAAATGGTCTCCCTAATGAAGCGATCCATATAACGGGTCTTGGTGGTGAGGATGGAGGTGTTCTGAAGCTGAATGCGGTGTCCCAAATCGATACTGTGTTCAGCCACAGCTGACTTAGCCGGACGTCCGAGACGAATGTGCCGCTGATGCTCCTTCAACCTCGTGTCCACGGAACGCCCAATATAGACCTTGCCGCACGCGCATGGAATACTGTATACACCCGGTATTCTTAGTACCAGGCTATCTTTGACCGGTCGGAGGAAACTAGATAATATCTTTGGAGGCAGGTCCACTGATTTGAAGTTGTGACCCGTTATATGGATCGCGTCAATAAGGAGGCCATTCAGATTGAATTCCATCCCGACAATATGAACAGAGAGGTGGGGGTCTTGTCTCAGCAAGTCATGGAAGCCTCTCATCTATTCCCTCAAGAAACCTCCGGGACATGACGCCAGAACCACAAGGCCACGCAAGTCCATGCCCGAATCGCATAGCAACCCCCAAGCTTAAGGGTTAATTCCCTCCCATTAACCTTGCCTTTCTCCCCGACATAATATTCTATACCTGCTCTAGCCTGCTACCTGCTGACCCACCTCCCCAGACCCTTCTCCTCTCCTCTCTACCGATTTCCAATGCAGCCCCTCTCCCTTCTCTTCCTGCTCTTATACAGCTGGGTTTATTCTCGACATTAGTCTATTGGCACTGCTCACGCTGGTTCTTCGCCTGCGGATTTTCTTGTTTTTTCTTTTATCCTGAAGATGGAGGCGATACGTTCCTCCGAAACGTCGGTTAACACAACATCTACACGCACCATATCCCAGAAGAATGCTTTCTTCACTTGATGAACTGTTCTATAATATTTATTATAGTTGCACAATCCAAACAGATGAACTTGAGTTTGAAGAATTGAAGAATAATAATGAAAACAGTGAACACTGTAACACCTTTAACGTTGCATTGAAACGCAGCACTGAACTAGAACTGCAGTATTGTTGCAGGCTTTGCCTAACACCGGCTGTTTACTCAGCTGTTGATCGGCAGCGAATGGTTCCTAGCTTGCGATTGGCTAGCACACGATACATTGTGGGTGCTTCCCATAGTCGTTGCATAGCAACGACTGTTTACTCGCTGTTACTAAGCAATGGTACCTGAGCTGTCACTGTAACGTTTACTTGAATGTGGGCAGTTCCTACGTCACCACCACCCCCAAGCGGAGATGGTTGATCATCTGTTGAAGCGAGCAGGAAAACGTACGTGGCGTCCGGAGCTTGTAGTTCGTGCTATGGGCGGTGGTGGCACGGCATGCGGAGCCTCGGCTGGGGTTGCATCGGCTTCGGGACTGAAAGTCTTGGTGGTGGTCCCGCGGCCTGTCTCGTTCAGCATGTAGGTAAACTTGACCATATCGGTTGACACAGTGACGGGCCTTCCGCGCGCGAGGATTTGCATTGTCTTCTACTTCCGTGACATAAACTTGCAGAGGCCGCTGTAGGGGGGCTCCAACGCTCTGCGAGTTGTGTCCTGCCGGTGGAAGAAGTACGCGCACTTCTGGAGGTCGCTGTGTACGAATGTAGCCGGGGAAGCGTGGCGTGTTGCTGGAACTGGTGTGAGGCGGGCCATATATTAACGGAGCTCGGTGATGAGATGCGCTGGAACCGCTGGATCGGCAGTCGGAGTTAGCAGCTCGCCTGGTATTCTTAGTGGCTAGCCGTACACGAGATCAGCTACTGATGCCTGCAGGTACTCTTTGAACGTCGTGTGGATTCCGAGGAGAACTAGGGGAAGGGCTTGTGTCCAGTACTTTTCTGCGTGGCACATGATGGTTGTCTTTTGTGTTCGGTGGAAAAGTTCCACTAGTCCATTAGCCGCTGGGTGGTGGGCCGTTGTCCGCTAGAGTTGAATGCCACTGAGCTTAGCCAGTGAGTGGAAGAGTTGACATTCATACTGACGTCCCTCCCTCTTCGGTGGTAATAGTCTGCAGGCAACCGAAGTGGGATATCCAGGCGGTCAGTAGGGCGCATGCCACTGTGTCGGCTGTGATGTCGGGGCTGGGTATGGCTTCTGGCCAGCGGGTGAAACGGTCGTCTGTAGTGAGGCAGTATGTGTAGCCTCCTGACGTCAGAAGTGGTCCCACGAGGTCTATGTGGACGTGAAGAAATCTGGGTGCCGGTGGTGTAAAGTCGCCCAATGGAGTGACCGAGTGGCGTGAGACTTCGGAGCGTTGGCAGGACTGGCAAGCCTTGCCTAGGTGCGGCAATCCCTCCGCACGCCCGGCCACACAAAACGCTGTGCAACCAGTTTCGCCGTTGCTCTGGTGCTTGGGTGCGACGGATCATGGACGGACTGGAACACTTGTGGCCGTAGAGGAGCTGGAATGTACGGGCGAGGTTTTCCGGCAGAGGCATCGCAGTAGATGGACACCGTGGTACCGGGGATTTGTAGCTTCTCGAGCCGCAAAGCGGTGTTCGACTGCCGAAGTGATTGGAGCTAGTTGTCGGTGTCCTGTGATGCGGCCAATGCGTCGTATGATGGTGGCGCAGTGACGGACTCGACGCGAGAGAGAGAGAGTCGGCAACAACGCTATCCTGTCCAAAGATGTGTCGGATGTCAGACCTGAATCGTGCTATGAAATCCAGGTGGTTGAATTCCCTTGGTGAGCATTTGTCCCGTTTCTCCTGGAAGGCGAAGGTGATGGATTTATGGGCTGTGAAGATGCCGTAGTGGCGCGCTTCCGGCATGTGACGGAAATGCTTTACGGCCTAATAGATGGCCAGCAGCTCGCGGTCGTACGCATTCTATTTTTGCTGGGCCTGGTTGAGTTTCTTTGAGAAGAATGCCAGTGTCTGCCAGGTGTTCTTGACGCGTTGCTGTAGCAAGGCACCCAAGTAGGACGTGGAGGAATCTGTAACGAGTGCAAGTGGGGCGGATGAATCGAGGTGAGCGAGTAGTGTGGAGCGTGGCAAACTCACCATGCACTCTTCGAAGGCCTTGTGAAGCTCCAGTGTTCAAGTGATGGGGTGGGAGCTTTTTGACTTTGGGTCCAGAGAGGACGTCGTGAAGTGGTGCCTGGTGTATTGCCACGTGGGGCAGACATCGTCTTTAGTAGTTCAGCATACCCAAGAAACGGCGGAGCTGACCGGCGGTTTTGGGAGGTTGACATTCCTGAAGGTGAGTCACTCGTTCTTCTATTGGTTGAGCCTTCGATGTACACTTTATAATCGAGGATGGTGATGTCAGGTACTCGGAAAGCACACTTCGCCGGGTTGATTAGGATACCATACTTCTGCAGTCGGTCGAAGATGGCCCGTAGGTCTTGCTCGTGTTCCTCTGGAGACCGGGAGAAGATGAGGATATCATCCAGGTAGGCTAAACAGAAGTCGAGTCCCCTCAGAATGTCGTCTATGAAGCGCTGGAAGGTCTGGGCTGTGTTGTTCAATCCGAAGGAAATGGGAAATGAAGGGGGACTCCAATTGGCCGAATGGAGTGGTGATGGCCGTCTTCTGTATATCGTCGCGACGGACGGGAAATCGGTTGTAGGTTCTCACCAGGTCGGTCTTAGAGAAGACGGAAAAACCCAAAAGCTGGTGGGAGTAGTCATGGATATAACGGACGGGGTAGAGGTCGGGTATGGTCCGGGTGTTTAAAGCTCTGTAGCTGCCAGATTTCAAATTTTCATACGCCAAGTTCTCTTGTTTGTAAAATCCAATAGACGATGCATAAACTCTGGAGACCATCCCTCAGCATTTCATTTTCCCCTGACAAGATAAGCTTTTTCTATTTTTCATGCACAGGTTGAGCTGGAAAATTGGAGTGTGCACAGTGCATCGGTAGATATGTAAAATCTTCAGATTTTGCATCAGATATGCAACGGTTGACTTTTGGCAAGATTACAAGTATGCATAATTTATTAGCGGCCTTCGTAGTCTAGGGGTAACGTTCCCACCTCATAACTCAAGGTACGCGGGTTCAAACCCGGCGGAGGTCGTGGGATTTTTAAGGGCGGAAAAATTCAGGGAACAAGTCCTCCGGGAGGGACTTTAAGCCGTGGGTCCCGTGTCGTAGCTTTACGGCACGTAAAATAACCTCATGTCCCAAGGGGACCACTGAGCCAAATTGATCGGACATTTCCCGCCCAACAGTAGTCTCTAACGCCTTTGATAGATGGGGGATGCATCGAGAGATACCGCTGAGGCCGAACTTGCTGGTTGAGTCGGGACTGATGGCACGAACCAGTATCGGTAGGGGATAGAGACTGGTAGAATATCACACAGGGGACGTACAATAGACCACTGGTCGCGGTGCATGGGGAAACCCACCC